CTCTCTTTACCTAGCACTCGACGCCTTACCTCAATATTGCTTACCATGTTATACCACTTCACATAGGAGATAGAACGCAGGCGCCTATGATCAAAGACAGCTAGCCGGCCTTTTCATGTTTTCCACTTTCAATGACCAGGTCTCACAGCCATAAAGGAGGACGGAGCGGACTGTTGAGCAGTACACACGCTCTTTGGTCGATAGCCAGCTGGATATCACGTCTACGCCAGAGACGGCGTGAACTGGCATATTCGAAACGAGCCTTCTGTATCCGTGCAGAGATTTCGTCAGCGATCAACCCTCTGGCACTGGTTGATGCGACTTCCCAAATAAGTGAAGCGGTCAAGGTGTTCTACCACTTCGCTCCATATTTCTAATCTAGGAGTCAATGTAGTCCAGTCCTGTAACATCATCTTGCATTTGGCAGGAGCGAATCGCATGCCAAACATTCGTGGATTGCAGCTCAAGGTGTTCAGAAGACTCTGCATTTTGTCAGCGTCCTCGCCTAGAAGGACTATATCGTCTGCACATTCTAAGTCGACGAGATTATTTCCTGGTAGCAAGTCAACCCCTGAGTCGCTGAAGTGAGTTAGGGTTAAGTTCATTAGTACATCTACGATGAAATTGAATAGAAATGGGGATAGTGGGCATCCCTGACGGACACCGCTAGTTGTCACCACTTCAGATGACAACTCGCCGTATGCTCTCACCTGGCTGCATGAATTCGAGTAGAGTGCGTTGATCAGTGCAAAGTATTTTCTCAGTATTCCCTTCACGACCACACATCGCCATCGTACCTCCCGGTCGACGGAATCGAATGACGCCTTTAGGTCAAGAAATATGACGGTTGTCGGACGCTGGTTAGTATGCCTATGTTCCAGGATCTGTCGAAGGGTGAAGATAGGACCAATATACCCTCTTCCTGGTTTAAAGCCTGCCTAGTTCTCTCATGTTTGTTCCTCCCGAGCACCGATTAGTCTATACATGATTATTGAGCTTAGAACTTTAGATACCACATTGGTCAATCTAATCCCCCCGGTGATTATCACAGGAAGACTTGTCTCCCTTCTTGTATAATCAATGATTTACACCAAGCCGACGGGACTACTTCTGATTCCCAGAAGTTGCCTGATACCTTTAGTTAATGCAGACAGTAAACTGTCTCCACTGTCCTTGAACACTTCTGGAGTCATTCCACAGGGTCCTGCAGCTTTGCCTCGTTCCAGACTAGTAACAGCTTTAGTAACCTCAGTTAGGGACGGAGGACCTGTGTTTATATCCTATTCAGGGGGATGTTAGATGCTAGGTAAGTTGAGCGTGCCTGTAGGCCAACTGAATTGCTCCTCAAAGTGTTCTTTCCAACGTCCTAGTCATCTACCCTGAGAGCTAATTATGGTACCATTTTGCACAGAGATGGCACTACTTACTATTGACGTCTCGACTACAGTTTATCACTATAATCGTATAATTACATATATATGTATCTATAGTCATGTGGTCACCGTGATATGATTATGAACAACCAATTGTGCTTGAAACATCATCAGTAAATAGGACTGTGCGTCGGTGGCACAGTGGTAGAATGCTCGCCAACCACGCATGTGGTCCGGAGTTCGATCCCCGGCCGACGCAATCCTTTACCTCGCTAAGCCAGTGATAAGACTGACAAAGAAGGAAGGTTGGGCATGAGGCTAGCAACCCCATCCCGTAAAAATAAATACCACTGCTACCGAAACTTCAAGCGAGAGGCTTGAAGCTCTATGTTCCACTGGGAACGTAAAGGAATAAAAAAACTTTTTATTCAATAAAATTACTCTATTATGAAATTATACCCTAATGTAATGCCCAAACTACTTATTAACTCTACGTATCCCATGTGTGTGACTTTTTAGAGTTGCGTCAAAAATATGAGCTATTCACTGTATAATGCTGGTTTATTATAGCTGTTAAGCTCTTAGATCGTTTCTCAATTACGATCTGACAATGTTTAGTTTACTTCCATCCCAACTCCACTTCCGTTGGCAGTCTCTGCTAAATATTTTGAATAAAGGAAGAACGAACGTATTTTTAGGATAATACGAGATCGTTTTATTTCGTGGATTCTTTTCAACCGCATATATCCTAAACAAAATCAATTCGAAGTTATGAAATTTCTGGACATACTTTTCTCCCCAGTGACGTCGGGTTATAGATTGAAAGTAAGAGCAACATAATTCCAATAATAATGTAAGGAGACGAATTATTCAGTGTTGAAAGAGTAACTATTTACAGTATAATTAGACAAGGGGGATAGAGTTCAGATTTCGCTTGGAAATAAGGATTGACTAGAGACAGAATACAAGATAGAACAACAGAGTGAATTTATACATATTATGATGGAGAGTTCAAGAGGATGGGAGTGAATAGTAAAGTAAAATTACGACACAGACAAACAAATTTGGTAACTTAATAGTTCAACTCAGTAAGTGAAAGTCAAAATTACGTAGAATTCTACACACAAAAAAAACAGTACAATTATCAAAGTAGTGGTGAGGGTATTCACGCCATTTTTCTGTATACAGCTTGGGTCGACGTTTTTTTGATAACAATGACTTCGGTTAATTTGAAAGCCGGACTAATTTCCGCTGTATGCCCCGTGTCAACTAGGTGTCTGGCGACTGCAGTTGCGAACATTGTGCTACCTTTCATATGGAGATTTTTAGAGGTATGCTCGGAGAATGTAGTAAATGCTCTCCACTCAGTCCTTCCTATGTACTCAAGTGCAAGCGACTTAGTCAATGCAGTTGGAGTTGACATGAGCAGGATACCTGTCTACTTTTGACTGAGTTATCGAGCATGCCGTGTTGTAAATTGGAATGACTCTGGCGGCAGGAAATGTTCTTTACAATGCACCCTTATTTCCAAGTGAAATTTGAACTCCATCCCCCTCTTCTAGTTATACTATAAATAGCTAGTCTTTTAACACTGAATAATTCGTCTACTTACATAATTATTGGAATTATTTTGCTTCGTACTTTCTGTCTATAACTCGAAGTTATTGTGAAAAAGTATGTTCAGAAATTTCGTAACTTCTAAATGATTTTGTTTAGGATATCTGCAGTTGAAGAGAATCCACGAAATAAAACGAGCTCATATTATCTCTAAAATATGTTCTTTTTTTATTCAAACTAGTAAAGGGAACCGTTTGTATGGAATTTGCTATGTATGCTAGTTTAGTGCACTCAGCGCATTGTTTGTCTATCAGCGAAAAAATACGTTCCGCGCTGTAGTTTTGCTCCTATTTTACTTACTTTACAGTTTGACATTAGGCAAATGAAACAAGAAGGACATTCGAATACATACAAGTCCTGATGTTGATCATTATTCATGTTTGTGTATATAGTAAGAACCCAAGTTTGGTGCAATACATTCATTCCTGGCTAAAAAGCTGATGTAAGAAACCACGAACATTGGCTACTGTAGTGGTTGCCTTTGTATCCTTTTTTATGTTTACCACTGAGGCAAAATTAGTATTTCAACTTCGAAGAGTAGGAAAGTGTTTTCAATTATCTGCTGTATTTGTTAATTTAGAGGCAGATATACACTTTTTCGACCGACACCTGATAACAATGCAAGCATTCATTTCGAACGTGCTGAATCCCATCAACATCCCGGCTGTCCTATTCGCATGCATAAATGGTCTGTTGATGGTTAACGACAATTTCCCTTCCTACTTTTACAGTTAATCACAAGTGTATGAATATAAGTTTGCGACACGTTCACTATTGTCAACCTTAACTGAAAGTTAGAATCACTCACTAATAAGACAGTATCTGTCTAAACGGATGTGCATAACTTCACTAAGTCAAAAGTTGTTTAGCTCAAATATAGTCAATACTACAACAGTTCCTGTGAAAGTGTCACTGTTGGGTTGGGTTAAACTATATTATCCAAATACCTAAAAAAGACAAGTAGTTCCCTGGTTGTGGCCATCATGCGAAGTTCTGAGTACATTTACTCCTATTTGCAGTCTAGTCTGGTAAGCCTGTATCAAAATGGTTCGCTAATTAGTCGGTATCATTCGCAAAAGACGAGTTAATGAACTAGTAAGTGATGTATTGATGCTAACTAGCCATCAAAAGGTCAATGAACGGTGTTCCTAACCTGCGATCCTCTCGTTAAACTACGTACATGTGCACTCCATTTTGAAGTAAACCACAACTCGAATGTTTTAACGTCACATGGAAACTTACAAGCTTTTGGCGTGATGTTTAGCCTAAAAAATGTACTTCATTCATACCTTGAGTGGTCTAATCGATAAGAAAAGTGTTTTATTTTTCTTGCTACAGATTGCTGAATTTATAGTGTAAATTACCATAGCTTTGTTTTACAGATGAAACCACCTATTAAGAATATTCTTAAAGCAAAATTAAGACCTAAACTTTGTTGGTTATCTTAGCCTGTTCAAACAGCAATTGCAGTTTCACAGAAAGACCATGTTTGTAGTTTTTAAAGTAAGATATGTACGTCTCCCTTTCAGAAAACAAACGTCTCCCAGTCAGTTTATCCCAAATTTATTTTCACTACAGTTCCTACAGATCTTCCAACGGCAATTTCATCCTATAATGATAAGGTCGGGATGGTACGAATATGGCTACTCATTGCTCACTGAAATGTAAGACGTTTATGTTACGTGATTCATATTTCCAACAATACTGCATATTTTCAATAGAAACACGATAGGAGCAGTAGTAATGGATCGCGATTAACTAACTTCAATGTAAATCAAAAGAATTCCTCCCTGACGATTCACTTTAAGTGAGAAACTGGAACTTTCTATCACTTATTAGTGAGTCAATGCAATCTACTCCCTTTTAGAACCTATCGAAATCTCAAACATCGAAAGTTGCATGAATCGTTTCTATGTTAGCAAAGTGAAACAAACCAAGTAATGTAATTTATAATAAAAATTGACTGGTTATATTGGAAATAAACAGAATTTTCAAAAACAACCATTTATTTCAGTCACGTCTCAGTGGAAAAGAGACTTCACTAACGCCATCTTTTGTAACAGTATGAATGACAACACTATCACCACACTGAATATCTCTTTCTGCAGCACTAATAAAGATATCGTGAGCAAGTTTAATAGCCGTTTCCTTGTCTAGATTTGATACATGATATTTCGAAGTTTTATTCCCAACCTATTAAAAATGAAAAACTTAAGTAAACGACATTACCGTGCTATCCAAAAATGGTTGCAATATTGCCGCAGAACTTCCTGAGGCTCTATATCCTTCAGATTCGTATGACCCGACTGGATCGTAACTGTACAGAACGCCACGCCCTTCCTCAAGTCCAACCAATACATTGCCCACATAGAATGGGAAGAAACGTCTGTTGTAGAGAGTTACAGATAAGAGGCCAGCTAGAGCCTTTGTAGAAATATCTTTTCCATGATCGTACCGATAAGTCTGAATTTATAACTTATGTATTGACAACTTACTTTAACTTTATTCTCTAAAAGCTTGGTCAAAGTCAGTACATCCCCATGAAAACCAGTACACCCAAGAATATTACCGGGACCCCTAATACATGCACATATGAAGAAAATTGCTTACATTTTGAACAATCGTGGGGAATTCCTAGAGAGGATAACAAAACCCCCATCACAAAGACGGGTGTCAGAAGCAATCAAAGCAAAATCTTTCCCAGCAATTCCCATGACTGTCCTGAACGTTTTACTCTTTAAAATCAAACAACCACTTACCCTCCATTAGATGCATATGGGTCGAACATGAGTAAGCAAACCCGTAAAGTGACGCAAACTCCGAAAACCGCGCCTTCGTTTCAAATACTTTAGATTAGAATGTAAGCTGAATATCCATTCGAATCCTGTTTTCGTGAGAAAAGTTTGATTGAAGATTTTGTTTCCTTGATATGTGGCTCTTAATTGGCAAGAAGAGTTGTCAGAATGATAATCATACAGTTCTTAATGACAGTGTTTAACAATTGCATGATGCAAATATTGCGTCACTGTATTCACTGTAAATATTCTTATTTCATTCACTCACATCTGCTGACAATGGTTATTGTGCTTGCATTACGTAGCAAAATCCTACAATGTATAGATCAGTTTCATCAAGCTTTCACCAGAATTCTCTTTGCAATTAGGAACACGTTTATCAAAACATAATGGTACATCTTGTTAATAGGCTAGTAGGGTGTTGAAAAGGTCCCCTATAGAAAGTGGCAGGTCCATCTTTTAGGCATAGGATGAGGCTGATAGATACATCCAATCTTTCCGAGGCACAGGACTGTTTTGTGCAAAGTGGAGAGTTTTAAGCTTAGTGTTTGAAGGTGGAGAATATGTTGTGGTGACTACCTGAGGGTGAGTGCTCAAGTGTATACTAGATATGAAAATATGCTTCAGAAGAATTAAGTCCAAGATATCGTGATCTCGGGTTGGCTTTAGAAAACTTTTTTTCACCTACGTGGCTCTACTATGTCTAAGAATCTGCTGCGACAGGAAGGAGCAACGATCGGTCCCCATGAGATTCCAAACATGTTGAAATCATAAAATAACCTCCAATGATTTTACAGGCGAAGTTTAGTGAAAAGCTGTAGTTATTCTAGTCAGAAGTTCACGGTTGTGGTCGAGTGGGTGATAGATGGTACTTAATAAAACCTTTGTTGCTTAGTGACGTCGAGTGTCACCCATAGTGTATCACGCATCCTAAGCTTTGCGTTTTTGCGGTGTTCAACTTTACAGCCGAATTTCACATGTATTATGCGCCTGTGGGATCCCCGAAATAGAGTGTGCTATGGCGTTGCGTTGTGATTAAGGAACTCAGGAGTAACTGAGGGGCCATCAAGTGGGGACTATATCTTTATGATTCGTAAGGCCCTCATTATCTATTATGTGACGAACGCCCTTCTGTGTGCTTGACTATGTTTTCTGCTTTACTTGCTCACCGCTTTACTTTCAAAAAGTAGGCATATTAAATAGGAATTAGTTTTCAGCGATAATAACAGCTCTCGTTCGGTAATTTTGGGCAATTTTTTGATAGGATAGTCGGTTTCCTAGCATCATCCACCTCACCTAACTGAAGTGCACTGTCTGAACAGTGAAACTGTAGGGCTTCTGAAACATGGCATTCTATGACCACTCAGATATCGTAAGTGACTAAGGGGCTCAGAAGGATGGAACGAGTAACCAATTAGCAACCATATCTTCTTCATGATTTGTAAGGCCTCCTTTATCTACTGAATGATGAAGGTCCTTCTATTTGTCTGAACAGGTATTCCCTGCTTCACTTGCCCTCTTTCAAGCCTTCAGAAGTAAAGTTTCGTAAACCCCATGGTCTTCTATAATATTAAAGGCCGTCAGTTGGTAATTTGAGTGATTATTTTGATACAATAATCGGTTTCCGAATTGGCGAACCCGTTTCTTTCACATTTTTTTATTCCTTCACGTTCCCAGTGGAACATAGGGCTTCAAGCTATTGGCTTGAATTTTCTGTAGAAGTCTTTATTTTTACAGGGTGGGGGTTGCTAGCCTCATGTCTAACCTTTCCCCTTCACCAGCTATTAGTTCTGGCTTAGCGAGGTAAAGGAGTGCGCCGGCCGGGGATCGAAACCCGGACCATGTGCATGGTGGGCGAGGGTCCTAACCGCTATGCCACCGACGCACGTTTCTTTCACATACTTCCTTTTATTTCGTCTATTTATATGTTTTCTTTCCTCTAGTGTTTATTATTTTGTTCAGTATTTTCGTTCATTGTAATGTCTCATTTGCCAAACATAGAAGCTGACTTCAGAAACTCCTCTTGTATGGAGGTAGATTCATCAGTTTTTACCAAAGTTAGGTTACCTAGATTTGGTTGGCATGACTCGGAACTATGGGTTGCTCGACTAGAGCACTACTTCGATCCGTATAACACAACCACCATGTACGGAGATGTGTGTTCTCATTTGCATTATGAAATTAGCGACGAGGCGTGGGACCTTATACTTCATCCTACCAACGAGCAGTCATAAGCGATACTTAATTGCTAGGTGATAAATCGCCTCTCTATGCCAAAAAACTAGCATAAACAGCGATTGCTTCGAGGGGAGAACATGGGAAATAGATCCTCATTATAGTCATTGCACCACCTACAGAAGCTTGCAGGGGGAGGCACGGTGAGAGAGGCTGTACTGAAGCAAGGTTGGATGCAAGCCCTCACGGAGTATGTGCAAAAAGCAAAATCCTGACGCTTCTGCTGAAGAGTAAGCAGGCATCGCTGATCGGATATGGCACCCAGCCAAGCGCTTGGCCTAAACTTCCTCACAAACAACAGGGAAAAGATTAACATCTTCACACGTAGCACAGATGTCTTGGTTGGTGCAGGAGCTGCACTCAGTATCACACCAAAAGCAAAGGTCCAGCAGAGAAGACTCAAGTCCCTCGTAACGCTACGTGCAGGCAATAAAACCCGAATTCCTACGTTCGGGCAGAAATCACCGACCCTTGACCTCGAGTTTAAGCGACTGCTTCTATGGGTGTTCACTATCGCTGATTTAGACCGGCATTTCTCGGCATCGACTTTCGAAAAAGAAACGGCTTACTGGTGGATTCTAGAAAGAGACGTTCAACAAGCACCATTCGTCTAATCTAGTCCAGTCTCTGCCAGTACCACCAACAATGTCCCAGAAAACACTAATGGAATTCCCAATGCAGTCAGTGACCACACCTCAAACCCCTAAGGCTGACCCGAAAATCACTCATACCATAAAGACACAGGCTCCCAGTATTCGCTAAGCCAAGAAAATTGGCCCAGACAAGCTAAAGCTGAATATGATCACGTGCTTTAGTTGGGGATTATTCGTCCTTCGAATAGTCAGTGGGATTCGCCGTCACACATGATGCCCAAGAAAAACCTGACTGATTAGATTCCTTGTGGTAATACAGAGCCCTAAATAAACGAACTGTCCCAGACAGATACACAGCACCACACATTCGAAGCTAGACCCCGATGGCGACCTTAGTGAGGGTTTAAAATTTAAAGTTTATACGGGCCTATTCTGATCGTTTCCTATAATTAAACAATTTGAACTTTTGAAGAAGTGCTAATTTATTGTTATATACAGAGAGACGACCAGTAGTTCAACGAAGAGTCTCTTTTCGGCGAATCCAATTTCACACCTGTACAATCGCAGATATATATGGTTATTTTGTATGTGTGTACATAAAATTTGTCAAACAAAAATACAGTTGGTTAGGGTTGTTGTAACTAAGGGGGTGAAAATTAGTGAGTTTTCGTGGAGTTAGGTAACACAAAATGGGTTCAGAGAAAGTAAATGTTGATACAAGAGAGTAGTAACGAAAGTGATAAGTTGTCACGAACGATTGTTAAAGAAGAGTTACGTAATAACATGAATAGTTTGATAGAAGAGTTTTGCTCAGGGTGCGCATGGAAACAAAATAAAATACGGAATTACGTAAGAGTCCTAAAGAAACACAAGAGTTTTAAGTAGTCAGAAAAACAAGCAAACAAGCGTAAATTATGTCAAATCAACGGAGTTGTTGCCATGATAGCAGAAGTAGTTGAATAATCTTTTGTGTGCACAGTTCTGGTTCTTCTAACCTGATGGTTAGGGCTTCTGTGATGTGAAAAAGACGGAAACGTTTCGTCTTTGGCAGGTTGTTCGTCAATTCGTAGATCACTTCGAATCAGGAGGCGTTTGCTGAGATGGAATGACAAGCAGTGACGAGACTTCCGATTATTGAACTCCCTATACGGCCACTATTCCTTGCTGGAGCCACTCTTAGTGTCCTCAAAACGTCATCAGCTAATATTACTGTACAACACTGTGTGATTTAGCAAAATAAAATCTTATCTATAATGGAGTTATACTCTACCACAGTGCCCAAATTTCACACTTATTTCAATAATGCTCAACCAGCGTTTGATTTCATCTGCAAAGGAGGATAAAACGACTACCTGAACTTCCTCGACGTCCTATTAACGAGAAGAGAGGATGACTTCGTCAAAATAACCATACTTAGAAATATTATTATTGTATCCTTTAATTCCTACAGGAACATAGGGCTTCAGCCGTGCGTCTCCATTGCGTTCGGTTCTCTGCTACAGTCTTCACCTGGCTCCAAGTCTGCCCACACGTTTTCATCTCCTCTTCACATGACCTCCTCCAAGTCACCCTTGCACTGACGACCAACTCGCCACTTCCCTTTCGTTGGGTTCCACTCGAGCAATGGCTTGTCTAGTGATGTCACTTGATGGTTTCCTCAGAGTATGGCCAATCCATCTCCATTTCTTCCTGCCTATTTGTTTCACAATCGGTTCCTGCTGAGTTGGTTCGCTCCCAGAGATCCCTGTTGCTGATCTTTTCTGGCCATCTGATCTTGAGTATTGAGCGAAGACAACTGTTAATGAAGGTCTGTAGTTTGTTTGAGATGCTCTTTATGACGCGCCAAGTCTCTGATCCGTTAGTAGTAGCACTGACTTCACATTGGAGTTGAAAATCCGGATCTTATTTTTGATGCTGAGTGCTGTTGACCTCCACACAGACTTGAGAGTAGTGAAAGCTTGTCTTGCTTTTCCGATTCTTGCTTTGATATCCTCGTCAGTTCCGCCTGTAGTTGAAACGATGCTTCCCAGGTAGGTAAAAGAGGTTGTTTCTTTCAGGTTCCTTCCATTTATGCTGATTGTTGTCTGTTGTTGTTGCTGTTGCTGTTGGTCAGGAATCTTCATCACCTCTGTTTTCTCTATGTTCACCTGAAGTCCTATCTTTGA